TAATACTAATACTTTTAATTATAGTAAAAATAATAATATTCATAACACAAATAATACTATTTTTAATACTAAGAATATTTAGAACATAAATAATAATATTTTTTTATATTAAAACTTGTAATTATTATAAAAATAATAATATCTTTGAGATAAATACTCTGTATTCTAAGAAAAATAATGAAATTGACAACACAAATTATAATATTTTTTATATCAATACTTTTAATTATTGAATATTTTTAATAATACTACACCGCCAGCTCACTCTTTATTTTTATAAAAAAAAAATATCATAAAAATTTATAATAAAAATAATAATATTTTATAAAAGAAATGATAATATTTAGAATCCTACAACCCATGAAATTCGAGTCTTGACAAAGAACCCAATAGACTTGGGTCTTTACACTAGATCTATTGATAATGAATCTTGATAATCAACCCGTCCACCCTGAATCTGGAGCTATGATTCAAATGTCACTTGTCCCTAACCCAACATAGCTCAAGCACCACGTGTGCGTTGTGGAGTGCCCAACCCAAAAATAGGGGTTTCGAGTCTTGATGAAGGACTCAGTAGAATTGGATCCTCATGCTAGACCCATTGATCATGAATCTTATCGATTAACCCATTCACCCTAAATTTGGAGCCATGATCCAAACCCCACTTGCTTTCAACCCAACACAACCCAAGCACCACATATGTGCTGTGGAGTGCCCAACCCGAAAGTAAGAGTCCAAGCACCATGTTTACGCTGACGTGAGCCAACCCAAAGGAGAAGTCAAGTGCCATGTGTGCGTTGGATGTACCCAGTTTATAGGCACAACCCAAACACCACGTTGGCGCAAAGATGTGCCCAGCCTCTAAACAGAAGTCAAGCTCCATGTGTCCCTGTATGGTTTTTCTTTGATAATAATAATATTTTTTTAAAAAAAATATTAATGATAACAATAATAATATTAATAGTAATTTTTAATTCTATCTTTCAAATCAAATATGTGGTTGTTTTCAATATTAAGAATGATTTTTTTTCTAATTTAGTAATTTTTTTTATTAATAACATTGATTATTATAAAAATAATAATACTTTTACCACAAAAAAATAATATTTTTAATATTAATATTTTTTATCATGGTAAAAATAATTATATTCATAATACAAATAATACCACTTCTAATACCAAGACTATTTAGAACATAAATAATAATTTTTTTATATTAAAATGTTGAATTATTATAAAAACAATAACTTTAGAACAAAAATAATAACATATTTGAGATGGATGCTTTGTATTCTAAGAAAAATAATAACATTGACAACACAAATTATAATATTTTTTATATTAATACTTAGAATTGTTGAATATTTTTAATAATACCACACCGCGGGTTCACTCTTTATTTTTATTAAAACAAATGCCATGAAAATTTATAATATAAATAACAATATTTTTCTTTTAAATTTATTAATTGTTTTATTAATAATATTAACTATAATATAAATAATAATATTTCTAAAAAAAATAATAATATTTAGAATCATAGGATCCATGAACACTGAGTTTTGATGAAGGACCCAATAGAATTGAGTTCTTACGCTAATCTCACCAATCATGAGTCCTAACACCAGACTCATTTTTCTTGAATTCGAAACCATAACTCAAATTGTGTTTGATATTGTAGTCAGATCCACTTAAACTTGGGTAATGCAAATTTAATATTGTTATTAATATTATAAATATTATTATTGAATCAGGTGTTGCAGCTAAATTCAAGAATTTTAAAAATAACTTTATAAAAAAAATCTAATATTTTTATATTTTAATATTTTTAATATCTTTTATATAAATAAATTATCCCGCAGCATGACACGGTCGTATAACTAATATGAAAAATAAAGGGAATGGGGTTTTTACCCCAATTCCTTAGTAGAGTAGGCGATAATATTCGGAGCAAGACATCCGACCGTGGGCTACTTGCTCCAATGACATTAGAAGTAGACCATCAGCTGGATTGTAATGGACCAGAGGCCCAGCTCATAAATCATCAACGCTGTTGTCTCACAAGAAGCCGTCGCGAATCAATCCCGGTAAGCGTCCACAAACTGCCCACTCATGTAGCTCTTCAGAGTACATTTGAAAATGAATTAAGTACTTGTCAGGCATGGGCCAAGCCGACAAACATGTTTGGTTGGATTCACAACATCTGTAGTCCACCCAAGTCAAGGATGTCTCCAAGATTAGCCACTTCACTGTTCATGTGAGCTGGCTGCAATCTTTTTTTTTTTAAAAAAAATTTATTTGTCATTTTTATTCAATATTTTACTAATTTTGATTTGATTTTCCTAATAGATTTTGATTTATTTTTTAAAATATTATTATAATCTTAAATAGACATTCTTTAATATTTTTTTGAGACTTAATTTTATAAATATTTATTTTTATTGTCATATCATTAGGTAAATAATAATTAAAAAAAATTGTTAAATCTAATGATGTTCATGATCCAACTGGTGAGTTAAACTATAAAACTTGAGTTGATTTAATATATTGTTGTTTTTATATTGAAAAATAATATCATCTTGATTTTTTTTTTAAAAATATAAATTGTATTTTTTATTGATTATCTATATTATCTTTAGATTTATCAAGTTAATTAGATCATGTCAAATTAACTATCATAGGGGTTAATTTTAAATTTATGCTAAATAACGATTTGGATCAAGAGATTTTAAGATTAGTTAATTGAGTTAAGCCTTCTTTTTTTCCTCATTCTTTTTTTTCTAGTAAATTCTTTATGAATTTTTTTTAATTTAATTTTTAATTTTTTTGTTGTTTTTTAATTGATATTTATAATTTATTTTAATTTTTTACGAGGTCATTACAATCTTAATCAAACATCTTGATATTTCATTAATATTTAATTTTATGAATATTTATTTTTGTTAATATATTATTAATTATTAAATAATTTAAAAAACAAAGATGTTAAACCTAATAGGGTTTAAAATTTAATTAACAAGTTTAATGGTTTAAATTCTGAAACTCAAGTTGATCTAGCATGCATCAACTCAATTTTGTTTTTTTTAAGTAACCTTGAAATCTTTTAAAAATGTCAAACAATGTTTTTGTCCATGTCATCCTAGTTGGTTCCGAAACCATGAAGTTAATTATGTAATGTAAAGACAGCATTCTTTTGAGATAGTTTTCAACCTGGGTTAGATGCACTAGTAAGTGTTTTTTTAATATTATATTGCAATATCCTTTGCACAAGTACTTTTCATTTAAATATATATTAAAATAATTTTTTATTTTAAAATTCACATAACAAAATTATAAAAAACATTAAATAAATATAAATTTAATATTTTTTTCAACTCACAGAGGAATAATTTCAAACATAAAAACAAAAACTATGTGGTCGTGTCATCTATCCAAAAGCAATCATTCTGCAAAATGTTCTTCGTATGCCTGAGTGTAACGTCATCCTGGCCGTCAATATCCACGAGTCACATTTCAAATTGCGTGATGCTCTAGTGTCCAATAAAACCCATGCTTATATATAAATATATTTTCTTGGTTTGTATAAGGATATTTACATTTTTTTTTTTTTAAATCACCGTTATTTTGGAATGGAGTTATCATTTTATTGGATTACAGATAGATAGACGAAGACGTGATTTGTTAACAGAAGGAATGGTATATTAATGAATATTAAACAATCAATGAAGCAGGTAAAACAAAAGTCAAAGCCAAGAAAAAAAAACCTATCCTTTATCTCAAATAGACCAAGGCCATTAAAATAATTTTTTTTATTAAATGCAGCCATACAGGAAAAAAAAAACTTTGAATAAAAGCAGAGCATTTTCTTTTCTTTTTCTGATTATTTTTGTATTTTAAAAATATTTTAAAAATAAAAAATATTATTTTAATATATTTTTAAATAAAAAATACTTTGAAAAACAACCATAACTATATCCTCAAATAGACTTTAATAAAAATCTAGCTTCTAAAAAAAACAAGAAATTATCCCATATTATCATATACATATAAAGTATAAACCAAAACACAAAAAAAATCGTGGTACTTAATTGTTAATGAAACTTGAAAACATAAAAGATAACAATTTATTGTTATTGTCAATAATAAATTATGTATTTTTAAAACTTTATTATTAGTTTTTTTAATGTAAAAAAATAATCTGAATAAACTTATCATAATTCCAACAACTACATTTTTAAAATATATATTTACTTTAAAAGTTAACTAAAAACAAATGAATATATACTCACAAACTCTCTATCAGGATAGGAACCTAAGTTCTGGAAATGAATGGTACTTATTAGTTTTTAACTTTAAATTCATTTCCCCTTTTCATTTGAAAAAATAATTTTTTTAAAAATAAAAATAACTTTTTGTTCAAACCTTATATGGTAGACCAATAAAAAATAATTATTTATAAACTAAAAAATTATTTTATAATAAACCAAAATCTAAATCTAAAATAGGTCAACGAAAAGCAGACTCATGGCCCTGCGCTCGAGCCTACATTGAGCCTAAGAGTTAAATCCATATTTTTGTTTAACCTTATTTATTATCATTCAATTTTTTTACTGTATAAATTAAAAATCTCATTTCATATGAGATAATTTTTTTTTTAAAATTTTATAAAATATATTAACTTAGAATTATTTGATATTATTTTTTCATTAACCAACAATTTATTTTAACTATATTAATATTTTTTTATTAAAAAACTTTATTAAAATTTTCATGACATGGTTACAAATTCAAACAATATCGAAATTTCGATGTCCAAAAAGAAAGAAAGAATTTAAGTCAGCACAAAAGTGAATGACAGGCTAGGGAGCGGACGGAAGTTGCCATAAAAGACATGGGGTGAGACACGGTGGCAGCTGACAAAGACTAGAAAAGGAGATAAATATGAACGAGAGAGGACGGAGATTGCCATGGCAGAGAAGGAAAAAAGCAAGGGGAAGGTGCACGTGGGCAATCAAATCACACATCGAAGAAATCGGCCAGCAATGTAGCAAAAATCGCCAGCACAGAAAACAAATGATAAAAACATTGGCCCCAGATGGCTTTAGCCTCAGTAATCAAGAGCATGATGAAATAGAAATAGCACTGTACCACCACTCTCTTCTCTATTGTTCAGAGAAACACACTCACACACATTCACAAAGAAAGAGAGAAGAAAGAAGAGAGAGCAGTTTTAGCTGGTTTATTGTAGAAACAGTAGTGCAAACAACCAGCATCCCCATCTGACATTCCTCCCTCCCCCATAGCACTTCAATTTCAAAAACGTTACATAATATTTTGAACAGACCAAAGCTTGTTACGTACCGAGGGCGTGGCGTGGCGGTGGCGGAAGAAACAGAACAAAATTTTTAAGAAGAGCATCGCAATATTCATTGCATAGGCGGAGACGGGACACCTGACTGCAAACTTTGTTTTTGTCTTCTACTACTACACGGTGTTGTCAGTCAGTCATTCAAAAGCAGGGGCGAGGGCAGGGCTTTTTTTCTCTGTCTCATTTTTACTTGCATCAATCTTGTTTTTGGAGAAAAAGGAGAAAGAGAGAGATGGGTCAGAAGAGGAGTGTCGCTGGCGACGCAAAGACGTCAAGAAGTCATGAGGTTGGACTACTTAAGACCACTAAATGTTTCAACAATGGCTTGCCTCCTTGCAACCCCCAAGGTCTTTATTTTTTATTTTTTGTTGTAATTATTTCCTTTTCCACGCTTCTTTTTAATTACAGGATGACATATTTAGATGGTCTTTTTTCTGTAGACAGAGAGAGCATGATTTTTCTTTTATGTTCATGAACGTTTTATGTTTTTCTGTCTTTTTTTCTATATATTTCGGGATACGCGAATTCAATTTCGTTGTTGATTTATTTTAATCTTTGTACATTCATGATGTCTCAGAAAATAAAGATGATCTTTACACTGAACTGTGGCATGCATGTGCTGGTCCTCTTGTTTATGTACCTCGAGCTGGTGACAAGGTTTTCTACTTCCCTCAGGGTCACATGGAACAGGTTCTACTTTCCACTTTTAAAAACATTGCTTTAATTTCTTTCTTGAATTTAACCATCACCTAATCTTTTGCACATTGCAATGGTTGAAGAAACAAGATTCTATTCCATTTTGTTTCATACGAGAATTATTGCCTTGAATTGTTTCGTCATCGAGCGTGAATTTACAAGAAACAAGACGGGGTTGTTTTTACTGGATTCCCAAAATGTTTATATGATGCATTACAATAAGGTGCTGAATTCGTCTGTGAATACCCAGAAACAAAGTTTAGAAAACTAGTTGTTAAATTTGTTTGCTCATAGCATTTGAGTTTATATTTTTGTGTTCTGAAATCTGCTACAGGTTGCAGCGCTCATGAATGAAGAAGGTAAGATGGAAATGCCCATCTACGATTTACCTTACAAGATCCTCTGCAAGGTTGTCCATGTTGAGCTTAAGGTATTCCATTTTCATGGCATTGCTTGTTTGTTTTATCCATTTGGAACGATTTATATGGTTATATCGTCAAGACTCATAGATAGGTTAAAAATTTGTTGTGCTGTATTGTGTTAAGTTAAAAAGTTTTCTCGTGTTCTTAGTGTTTTGTCGTGATCTTGCAGGCTGAAGCTGGAACTGATGAGGTGTTTGCCCACATAATTTTGCTTCCAGTAGCAGAGGTTAGCTAGCTGCTGATATTGTTATTTAAACTGCAATATTTTATGTTTATAAATTAATGAACTCATTTCATGTTTTCGATGAGGGTATATCTATATAAATCTAGATCTTACTTATCAATTAATATACAGGACTCTAGTCATCAGAACATGAAATTGTCCCTTAAAATCCCATGGAGATGACCCGAATCATTCTCTAAAATTTTATTTATTAATGTTTTTGTTATTTACCTCATCTATCAACCCATGTTGATGCGTTGTTTCCCTTCAGGAAGATGAGCTAAGCTCAAACAAAGATGGAAAGTCCCTTCCCTTGCATAGAAAAACTTGTGCACGATCCTTTACCAAGAAACTTACTCCATCTGACACAAAGACACATGGTGGATTCTCTGTTCCAAAGCGACACGCTGACCAGTGCCTTCCTCCTCTGGTTAGTATCCTTGTGATTTACTTAGCAACTGTACTTTGTACTGTGAGAGTTGACACCTTGTTGGATTGGTTTCTCCAATTGTGGTCATCAATAACAACATTGTGAGCCCGTTGAGCTGTAATTCTTACTCATTTTTCACCACAATGATTTTAATTAGATAACTTCTTTGAATTAGGCAGATGGCGAATCAATTCCCTTATTGAATGACTGTACTTTGTCAACCTATGTTGAACTATTTGGACATGGTGATTTTGTATTCATACGTTATAGTTGGTGGTGCAGGACAAGTCTCAGCAACCCCCAGTGCAGGAACTTCTTGCCAAAGACTTGCATGGGTTTGAATGGTGCTTTAAACATATCTATAGGGGTAACTCCCACTTAACTAGAGATCTCGAAATATCAAGGCCTGAAATAATTCAGCCCTACTTCCATTCTTTAATATAGTGTTAAAGGATATGCATGTTCATAATTCATGGGCGTTTATTGTGTTTGAAAAATGAAGCGTAGCCTTTTTTTTTTTTATCGTATGTCCATATTATCACGTTCATAAATGATAAAGATGAAGCGTTTTTATTTCTACTTGGAAAATGTAGTTCTGCTGCATCTAATAATGCTGAAGGAAAAGAAAAGACAAATGTATTTCATTGTTCAAATGAAATTACAACATCCTCACTTCAATTCCTTAGTAGTCTGCAATGGATTACAAGTTCCATCAAATGTATCTCTAATGTTTTGTGGAAAATAATTATTTTTAATCTTCTTTATTTTTGACTGAATCATTGTAGGTCAACCAAAGAGGCATTTAATTACAAGTGGTTGGAGCACATTTGTGTCTTCAAAAAGGCTCGTTGCTGGGGATTCATTTTTCTTCCTTCGGTCATCTCTCTCTCTCTCTCTCTCCCGCTTCCTCCCTCACTCTCTGATGTTGTGTGTATTAAAGGATTTGACATTTACTGCATTAAGTTTGTTAAATTATCATTGTATAACTTGTGTTTTCATGTATCTGCTAAACATTGTCTTTAGTGACTAACCATGATATTTTTTTTCTGGCTCTAGCCTATAATTCCGTCCTGTTATGTATCAAATATTTATTTTAGAATAATTGTAATCTGTTACATGTTCAAGTTTTATTGATAACTCTTGATTTGTCAGATGAATAACAATATTTGTTTTCAGAGGTGAATCTGGACAACTTCGGGTTGGGGTCCGCCGAGCAATGAAACTAGAGAACAATTTGTCAGCATATGTCTTATCTTCCCATAGTATGCAACTTGGCATACTTTCCAGCGCTTCCCATGCCATTGCTACTGGAAGCGTGTTTAAAATCTACTTCCATCCTTGGTGAGTAATAGTCATGTGGTGACTTCTGAAGTTCTTTGGAAAAAGGTCATTGACTCTAGCAATTGTAATTGGCTCTCTATGTTTTCAAGTTTTGAGCAAGGAACTTTTTATGCCTTTTTCAGGACAAGTCCTGCTG